AATCTCAACCCCAATTTATAAGATAATTATCCACAGTAATAATGATTCCGGGAGCTTCTCTATGCAATAGAAGTCGCCGGAGAAGTTTGGAGAAAATTAAACCAAAAACTCCATCGATGTGTGCACAAACTTTACTTTGTGCTCAAGTTTGAAAATTTACGCCAAATTAACACATACTTTAAAAAGAGTTGTCGTAGACACTGATGCAGGGATACACACAAATCAGATAATGTTTCTCGCTAAATATTCCTATTCCTAAATAAAGTTATTCCATGTGTTTTATTATTCTACAAGATGTCACCCACTCAAAGGTGATTGATTTTTCCTGTTTTATTAGTAGCACGTGTACATAACGCCAGATAGCCCAACTCTTTGGCTTCTGCTTAACAATGCTCTCTCATGACTCATCTTGGATTCGTTTGACAATGACATAAACCTAAACCGAATTGCGCAACGGGCATATAAGGTGAGATTTCGGTCCTTAGAAAAACTTAAAATAGTTAAAGTAAATGAAGATTAGTCATAGTTTTTACTATAGAAAAAAATAAAGGACTCTACAAATAATAACAGAAATAACACTGTCTTATAATAAGCCGCACTAATTAATTCATTATGAATTGAAAACTTGGATATAGAGCAGCGAAGGCTAACTGTTTTACTTCAACGCTGACGCCTTATTGGATACTGCGAGGTAAAATGAAGTTTCATGCTACCCAAAATCGGTGTATCTGGTATCGTTTTGATAAGGGCATGACTCCCATATTCTGTTATCAATCAACGGCACGTACACTGCGCTGGTGTTCATTTGGTTGATGTACAACGAATTTTTCGTCATCAACTTTAGTTGTAATCTTAAATTAGGGGTTTGTATCTGTTCAAGTTTAAATCTATTCCTAGTTTAGACCTGCAGGCTTTTTCAATACGAGTTTGGTTAGCAATTTGAAAAAGTTAGTAAAAATGGTATCAGCGCTGATAGCGTGATCGTGGCAGCAATGCCCAAACCATTAAAGACAAAAGGGACCGAGGCAACTTGCGACACACGTTACCGTTTAACTCCCGTAGCTGCAAGCTCGTCGGCGCATGCATTACCACTAATGGCGCCATTTCTTTTATCAAGAGAAAGCAGTAGACTAAGATCAGCAGCACTCGTGGTAGAATCAGATAGTGCCCCAACGGCAAAGTTGCCTTGCCAACCGAAGCGGCATCGGGGCTTGGGTGTCGAACATCTCGTTTCGACATTCACTCTATTTGACTTCCACATATTTTCGATGGGTTTAGGCTTTCTCCCTTTAATTCCTAAGCCCCACGGAAATACGAAATTATCCCCATCCTAATGAAAAATGTTAACGAGTAGAGCAAGCTTTGCCGCTTTTCGCTGCAGTAGCTTGAACATCGCTGAAGTCTTACGTTAAAACTGAAGCCGTTTGCGATGCCGAAGCCACGTCGATCCGACCCGTATTCGTTCGAGCAAAGCATTAGGCCAAACTTTCGTCCTAACCCTCTTAAGCCTCTAGTTTTAAACAAGAAGCAACCGCTGAACAGCAGAGCAGTATACTCATCAAGAACAGATACTGCTAGCCATCGTCTATTGCTGATTCAAAATTTACGCGCTTCCACAGTTGCCACCCAAATCGAGTAGAGCCAAACGTTGCGCGACGATCTGAACCCCACAGAGATCACAACCTAACCTCTTTTTTACCGACTTCATACAGCTCTGCTTTCTTTTTCCATTGACGCTGCTGCTTCACTCTGGGCTTACCCGCAGACACGCGCAGTAACAAATATATATACAAAAAGGGGGAGATCGCAAATTGCACAGGCTATGTCTTTTGATGAGCCGATCACTATGCATAGGGCTTTGTATGTCTGCCTGTAGGACTTTAATGTGTCCCAGAAGATCACTGGATTAACGCCAATTAAGCCCTCTGTTTTTCGCTAAATAATCTGCCGCCTCTCTCGGCTGTTACTGTAATTCGTTGGTCTTGCAAGCTACATACAATACATACTATTCTGAGTATAGTGCATCGGATGTAGCATACCAACAGCAAGCTGGGATTGTATGGGGAACATACAGCCTCAAGTAGACTAGTTGCGCACAGATCGACAACTGCCGACTGATAGAGACGTTCTTAGCTCGTCAAAAAACAAAAGCTACAGGCTTCGATCAATAGTACGTGAAACGCAATCGCCGTCGTTGGGGTTGGCCAAGGGGTTTTTGCAGAATCGCACTTTTTTATAGCTGCTTGCATGAAACGGGTTCTCCCAAAGGATATCTTCTCAGCCTTCTTGTCTTATCATCGATAGCCTTGTGGGTATTACCCCTATAATAATGTGCATTAATAACTGTTCATGCTGCAGTAGCTACTGTTTTCGATGCGCGTAGTCTCTCTGAGATGTAACAGCAAAACGAATCCAGACACAGACGACACGTGTAAGAATTCTGGCGGCAAGAAGCAACAGTAAAAAGGACTTGCCCTAACAAGGGCTAAAAAGACGAGCAACATCGTAGAAAGTAAGAATCATTTTGTCATAATGAAAACACCGTCATGCAGCAAATGAAAACATTAAACGAGAAGTTGGACCGATGCGCAGGTTAGTAACTAGATCGAAAGCTTTCATTGAACAGAGACGCTTACTTTATCGAGCTTAAAAAATAACTAGCAGACGAATTACCCAGATTTGTACGAATAGCAGATAAATGCATTGCATTTACAAATATAGTCGCCCATCAGATATGTGTATCGATCACGTAATATGACTTCAGGTCGTGAGGAACTAATTTAATTTCGAATACGAAGTTTGAGGTTGCAATGCCATCTAGAGAAGAAAACTAGAATACTGATGAATTGGGCCAATTACTTGAGTTCGAGATCTAAGACAGACTTTTATTCTACCTAGTTTTCTAATTTAAAAGTCGCTTCCTATGAATAGTAGAAATTAGCAGTGAACTATTCTCAATATACCTGCATATATATACATATAGGAATGTACAGTCGAATTACAATTTTTGTGATTTTGCTAATAGGCCAACGGCTAGCTATCACTGGCCAGCTCCGCCACTGCTAAAGCAAACGAACCTGTTTCAGAGAACCGCTCATTTCAGTGACGAGATTAATGAGAGACTAACAAAACGAACGCAGCAGAAAGGCTTCTATCCTAAAGCGAACGAACCTAGGCACTAGGCTGAAAAGGCTTTGATGCTCTCCCTGCACAGTGCTATATGCTCGGGCCTACAACAAATGTCCACAAAGTCGAATATGGAGTTCGTGAGTAAACCACAATGGGATAATCAATTTATGTGCCAATCTTGTGCGTCACTGCAGGACATTTTTACGTTACTTTATCTTATCATCATAATGATGTAAGCACCTTGATACAAACTGCAAACGCGGGCATGCTTATGAGTGTATGGAATATTCTTTCATCTACTCACATTACCCGACAACTAGCCGGAAGGACAGACACTCCCGAAAGCAAGTTCTTTTTGCTTGGTCTGATTGAAGTTATCTTCAAAGAGGCGCTTTGCATCTGAACGACTTCTATAAGCTCGAGTCGTTACCATTTTAGATAAATAGAGAAATCAATGCGTTGAGTATTGTAACTTTGGGTCCTTAACAGCGTCATGACGTCCTTCTCGCCCCTATCTATTTCCGTTATTTTGCCAATTTTCGAGTTTAATGGATACCCCGTTAAGTACCAATAGCTTGTTGTAGTAATTTGTCTTCCAGAGGCGACTGCAATAGCGCCTACGTTCGCTAAGCGATCACTGAACGCCGTATTTACAGGGTGCTCTTTATCGATGTTGCGCAAACCTTTGACAAATGCGCTCAGCTGTTTCTAGAAATGTTGCTACTGGAGGATTGAGGTCGCCTTTTTGTCAAGGCTCTAGCCGATGGCGTCGCCATGTCTCCGCCTACACATGTCCTCGGCAGAGAAGCCGGGAACAGAACAGAACTACGATTGCAGCGGCGACCCAGTCCGATTACTACTACTCCTACTTCCCTGTTTTATTATGCTTCAGACGATGCTCACGAACTAGCCGCTTGTAGCCAACCGGCGAAAGTTTGCATGTAGGGTTTGTTTGATCACGCGTCCACATTGGCGACGTGCTACGGTGTTAGATAGCTGCTAGCCGGTCTGTGTTCTTTTGCGTGAGTGTGTTTGGTCTCTGCGGTAACTATGTCCCAATACGTTGACAAGGGAGATGCTCTGTGCGATTTTGGGATGCACCGCCTATACATCACTCGATGTCCCGTACACCGTTTCAATCCGCGCAGCGTGAACTGGGACTATAGCAACAACCGCAACAGCCCTAGCAAAAATAACAGAAGTGCTTCTAGAAGACAGTGTACGTAATAAGATCGCACTAAAGGCCCAACTATCACATTCTGTGTCCTTCCAGCTTTTCAGTGATGGCTGCCTTGCCCAGTCTATAACTCTCCGGACGCCTCGTTGCTTGCGGGCCGTAGTCGTACGCTCGGTTGGACTATACAACTTTACCGATCAAAAAAGCAAAAAGCCTCTACCAGAACTAGCTATTAGATTATTTTAGCACTGCAATTACTGTCTCCAATAGGGCTGTCATGTTTGTGCTGACGGTATTGCAAGGCACGAACGGCTGATACGCGTCCACCAGGCAGCCTTACAACCCATCAGGGCCTTTACTGAGATAGGTTGTAGGCTGTAGATTGCAGTCCCTACTGGCCCAAGGCCTGCGGTATCTGCGCTGGCAGTGATCTTGGCCGAGCTTCAAGCCCTCCTGAAAAGATCCTAAGCTTGGTTAAGTCGTGCCTTCACTCGCTTGTGAATGTTTGTGCGCGGACTGCACTTTCGTCTCAGCATAGCCGTCATCATCATCAAAGCCATCGTCGGCGTGCAATAAGGCTCGTCTCTCCATCTGGCGACCACTGCTTCGCGCTCTCCCTTGAGTCTTCCGGTCGGTTTCAGTCCCTCGGTTTTCCAGCCCTCAGATCGTTGATTCTGAACACGCCTCGACAAACCTCGAAGTTATCTTCTACTCTACGAGGGCCAGAGAGTTTCGTTGTGTAAGGTGGCTTTTTCAAAACTCTCTGTGGACCGCGCTCTGGCCGCGCCAGCAATGGCATCCATTACAACGACAGTAGTGCATTACTTAAGTGGTGTGTGTTATCGGCAGTAGTAGTAGTAGTAGTAGTTAATGGCTGGATGTTTATCTGCCATTCAGCCGTAGCTTGCCCCGTCACGTCAGCGTTATACGGTCGCGACAAAAGGAAGACGCCAATCTCGGCGACAGGACACTCGCTGATTGGCAAAGACCCGGCGGGCATCAAGCGCCGCAGCAGATATATCTAAAAGTGGTAGTTGATAGAAAGAAACAGTTCAGTTCGATAATCGTTGTGGTAACAGATAATCCATACGGAGCCTCAGGCCACAAAGTGCTACATATCAGGCCCTCGCGGCGTTTAACCATGGCGGAGATGATCCAGATTATTAAAAATGTACGCATCGATTGTCAAATACCGTGACTATAACCGCTTTAAGAATGAACGGCTTTTTCATAGCAAAATGGTCGGAATCATCGCTCACACACATGTTCTATACGAGATACGTCTGCGCTTATCTTTTTGCCGGCAAAATGTACTATCCAAATGAATGACCAGCATATGGATGCTACTACCTGTGTATGTCGTCCGTTCTATGCCGTTTCGTGCAGCCATGAGTACGATGATACTATTTACCGCAATTGAAATTGTTGTACACTATTAGGTCTAACGAAACGCTAGTGAAAAGTCGCTTTAACCATCCAGTGCATCTTTTCGGATACCATGTCAGTGCTTACAAGAAAAGTGAGATAGTCTTGGGTGTGGCCAGGTGTTTTTATTTTTCCCTGTTGAGCTGAAAAACTCTCCGAGTTACGAAAAATGCCCTGCGGGCTAAACCACAACTAAATCATTCACATATGTGGTAATGACTATGACTCACTCGCTCGTAGTGGTCGGCCTGAGATGTGGATATGTTTTATGTTATTTGTACATTTATCGTTTGTTCTGTTGTTGTCTATTCCAGAATTGCCTGGCAAAAGCATTGTACGACAATCACGCGGAATCACCAGAGGAACTCGAATTTCAGAAGGGTGATGTACTGACCGTGCTCGAACAGAACCCCAACGGATTACAAGGTATTAACAGACCGTAATTAATGTGGTTAGTGTACGTTTTTCATTCGGTCACACACTGCGGAGGTCGTTTTCTAAACAAATACACCAGGGATATTGGTAATATTTGGACGAGTGTATCTTCTTAGTTTGCCTAGATCTTATAGCTCGGCATAAACGATAGTTTTACATGTTTTTAGTTATGAGCACAGTTGTGATAAAAGCCTTTTTTTCAACAGAACGTGATACTACAACGGGATTCAATAGAAATGGTCGTACCGTTGATGTTGTTTTCCTATTTCCGGGTATATGTTAACAGGTAGAGAATATGTCTCCAAAATGTGACTACTTTTTGCGACGTTTGCGACGTATCGTAATACATACAAGAATTGATTGGATTTATAATACGCCGATAATAATTTAATGTATATGTTACAGCTCATAGATTTTAAATGGACTGTTATTAAAGCTACTTTGAGTGACGTTCATGATCTTCAACTTTACGGTTTAACTGGGACGCGCTACTATATCATGTGAGAAGGATCGTAATAGAACGCTTAGCCTGATTAAAAATATATCTCAGCTAGAATTGGTCTATGAAAAGTCACTTATGCACTTATGGTGGTTGTATCTTCTTTAGTGGAGTTTATTCTAGTGATACCTATAACGTTTTCCACTTTCTTTTCTATACTATCATTTAACCTGTTCTCTGAATTTCGAACGAATTAAAACAATCGTGAACATTTCCCACGCATGTACCACTTTATTGAGCTAATTCCGCAATCAAATACTCCAGAGTAACATCGTGCTTAGCCGCGAAGATTTGGTCATGTAGCCATATGTCCAAGAGGATAACTAGTCCATTGGTAATTTAATGGACCTGACTACAAGCGCTAGATTAAAGCTGGTGGGTGTCCTGGACGTTGGGAAGGTAGTTATTACGTAAAACACCGTCCCGTCTTAATGATAGAGACCACAGAAGTTGGCAATCGCACTCAATTAAATTCGAGCGCCGGGGCGCAGGGGTGCCGGGTCGCTAGCAGACGAAAAGTAGCGAAAGCTTAAAATCGTTACTTAATAGCTGACCACGTGTCCAACTTTAAGCAGCTGCCACGTGCCGTGTATCAAACACAATTTATAGGACAACGTTAACATCTGCATGATCGTGCTTTACTGACGACTGTACGACTACTCGTGTCTACTGAAAATGGTAATAACGTGAGGTAGCCTTAGAAAATATGGCAAACATAAATAATAATCAGAATTCTCGTATCTCTGCGAGTGGATTTCAGCCATCGTTTGTATTCCTAAGTGTTAGTCATAGCGAATCCGCAAGCTAATAGCGGCCTAAATCTAAGTACAGGGAAACCATCAAACGTTCATTGTCGTGATACTTTTACTAACTTAACTTTTACTAACAATTATCGTGAAATCAGGACTGATGATCTAGTAACTGACATGTTTTTTTTTTTTTTACCGAGCATTAACACCAGCCGTTTTACATGAAACACATTCATCAATACTTAATTTTATAAAAAATTTCCGACCTTTGAATATTCTTGATTCGCTCTGTCAAGCTACAACACGCCTTACGATGAATTTAAAAATGTCATCTGGAAAAACTAGTAGAAACCAGAAAAACAAAACCAGCCGACTTAAACGATATTGTACGTGAACGGATAAACATGTGACGAACAGACACCCCCCTAACGGGTATAGTTCACTTATTGTTGCCTGCATATTGTACATAAACTGCAGGATGGTGGCTCTGTGCTCTTCGAGGACGTCAGGGTATCGCCCCAGGAAACCGGTTACGCCTAATGCCGTACATGTACGATCCAACTGGACTAGGATTTGCTACAGGGGTCGTGGCTCACAATGTGGCGATGACCTCTAGTGCTCCACACAACCATATCCAACAGGTAGAAAAGCAGCCATACACTAACAATATTAATAAAGTTGTTTAATAATAATAACAGTAATGGAACGCAAGTGCTTGCTACGCCTTACGTTGGCTCTCGCGATTTATAACAACAAAGTTCATACTTACCGTACATTTTTAATGCGTACGGTCCTATGCAACACAAACGACAGATGCAATAATAAGTTTAATATAATTTGGACGGTATGGACTAGTAATGTCCAGTCATAGTCTCTAATTATACCAGTTTTAATTACAGCATAAATAATTCTTCAATAGCATATAAAATGAAGTTTCCACCGGCTATTCTTTTGTGTAAATGCATAACAAAGCCCTCATTTTGCCATTACTAACACCATATTGCAATTCATGTTGTTTCCCTTTTCTCGTTCCCGTTGCCTATATTCAACCTTGGTTTTGCATTTGCTCCAAATTGGTCTGATGTGATCTGACCTGACTTGGTGCTATCGTATTGCAACGACGCCGGCGTGTAACTATCCTCTGCCGTGCCATGCGTACGGTGCTTTCCGCGTAAACCTTACGTGGATCGTTTGTTTCATCACCCTTCTATCCGAATGCTTTTGTCTCGTGAACGGTAGTGCCCAGCTGGGCTTACCGTAACGGGCTGCACGACCCTGCCGAATCGCGGCTCGAACGCCAATAGAAGACCCCCAACTGCTGTGGGCGTGGGGGGTCCTCCAGCTGGCGCTCGGGTCGTCCTTCCAGTACGGCATGGTGATGTTTTTGTCTATGACACCCCGCAGGTGGGGATGGGTACTGGAGGCGGGGGTGGACTCAGTGGACGTTCCGAGTACGATGTCCCAGCCGTAGCGACCCTGCCTCGAGCCAATCTCCATACCCGTGACGGCATTCTGGTGCAGACAACGCCGAAGCTACAAACGTTCGCGGTCCCATCAACTCGTACGTATTAAGCACAATTACTGCAGAATACATCTGTGGGTAGTAAACGCCATATACAATATGTGATCCCTAAACTGCACTAGTTACAATTATATATCGAGTCAGATAAACTTAACGTGGAGATTTAGATGAAGGAATAAGCAGCGATTTGCCTACTTGTAAGTAGTACGCGTTACCTTGATAAATATGCTCAACATTCAAGGGACCGATATGTTTTTTAAGTTCTATATTTTTTATCAGCCTTTTGTTATGTTTGTTGTTATTAATTTGAATTCCATTTCTCTGCGTCCCAAGTAGAAAGCCAAAATTACGATGAGCCGAAGCCTTCATCAAAGCTTAGTGGAAATGGTGGATGCCAGTATGATATACCGCGCGGCATCAATCAACATTTCCGTGGAATGTCCCTCTCGGACGGTCAGTACGATTTCCCACAGGCGCAAGGAGCAAAGGCTGTCAATGGAACAGCTCCCGAAGCGGCAGGAGCTGATCACGCCGAGTACGACGCCCCCGCTGCGCGTAGCGCTGTGGCACCCCTCAAAGCGGCTTCTTTGTACGACAAACCACCAAACCAACAACAGCAAACCCATCAAAAACTCGACATGAGTACATTCAAGGTATGCAGGATGCGCAGTCACCTTTTGGCGGAGACGGGTTGCGCGTCCGGTGGAACTTGACCGTTAAACTTCTGTATATCATAGATCTTAAAACTAAAAAAAATCTACGACAAATTGCTTTCGAAAATGTTTTGGATTCTTTCGCTTTTCTATGAATCCATGGAATATAAATCGTACATATGTTTCCTACGATTTGGTAAGGTGATCTGAGTGACTAAAGATAGCTTAAATTTGACTTCCAGTGCAAACTAGCAGTTCGAACCGTGTGAAAAGTTACTAACAGTGTTATGTCCGGTGTGCAGGAAAAGTGTCCTTCGTACGATGTGCCGGTGGCATCCGCCGTGACGAACGCAAGGATGTCCTTTCACTCACAAGGATCTAGTTCCGGTGTGACGGGTAGTCAGAGTAGCCTAAATACAAGCCTCTCCAGTGGAGGTAATATTCATATTCGACATCGCTTTATCACACAGTATCCCATGCAGAGGAACTTTGCATGCATAATTTTTCCAAATCTGTAATGTTTTTATCATATATTCTAGATTAGGTAATCGCTACATTTGTAGTGCTCCTATTGAACTTTCCCTAGTGGTTAGTATTATTAATTAGCCTAAAAGATATTCTTATTAAATGCAAAAGTATTACGAAATTTTACAGGAGGATCAAATAGATCATCATTGGAACAGCAAGCCGAGGAAGCGTACGATATCCCGCAGTTAGGCCATAAAAGGCCTACTGGTGGATTGGATACAACACCCACTGGCCTTCTCAAGATTGCCTCCGCCACAGGAAGGGCTTCCGGTAATAGCGTTTATGATACACCACCACAGGTGAGCAATGCCACAACAACCCATGGGCCGAGACCGTAGTCTTTGAATTGATTCTTTGATCAATCAAGCTTCCAATCTCCCTCTTCGTCTAATTATGATTTTCTATCAAAAATAAAACTTACATTGAAGGGTTTTTCTACCACATTTTTTTCCCTCCGTATATGTAAGATTCTTAACGGCTAATAAAATCCAATGAAATGTGAGGAACGTCCTTTCAATCATTCTAGGCGAATGCCATTGTATAAATTGTAACCTTTAATGATCCGCCCTTCTCATTATTTGTACCAGGTAACCCGTGACATCCCCGTGCCGTCCAATTTTAGTATGGAAGCGGCAGAGTACGTTTCTCTACCACCGGGAGGAGGAAACACTTCTGTAGGTTCGAATATTGACCCACCATCAGCACGAGAAGCCGTTCCCCTTGAACTTCATTCGTCCCTGGAAGCTCTCGTCATACACCAGCAGGAGGTCCAAGCAGCGGCACAGTTACTTTTCGCGTCGTTAGCCGCAACTAGCCAGACGCAGAGTCAAACGGCAAAGGAAAGTCGCGAAAGCATGCGGGTGCCTTGTCATACGTTGCTCAACAGCGTTCGAGGCTTCTTCACGTTCGCACGTGGCGCGGTCAACAGTGCCCGTTCTAATGCTCCCGATACAAAAATGGTCGCCAAAATCGAGCGTCTTGTACAAACCCTAGCGACATCGTACTCAGTTATTGCTGATGCCTGCGCCGCTATGGACAAACTTGATTGGCAGTGCCACAATAAACAGGGTGCGCGAACATCAAACAAGCATAGAGACTAGACTGTTGTAGCAGTGGTAGTATAGTAATTGTAGAACTTTTTTTTCTGTAGGTAGGGGGTAACTTGGGCTACTCATTATTAGCGAATTTAAGGTTGCGGCTCTGTTGTTAGCTAAACATACGTAGCATGTGCGCCCAGACTGCTCTGACCTAACACAGATAATAAAGCGCTACATACACAAGAGAACTGCAATAGAAATAATCGATGAGGTACTCGCAGACATCCCCTATAATATTTAACGGAACCATCCACTTGCCTTTTGTCTATTTGCAGGTGAACGTGATGACTTTGATCGCCTGGTTGCATGCGCTCGAAGTTTGACTGACGACGTTCAGCAGATCAGTCTGTGCGTACAAGGCAACGCCACGCTAATCTTTCGGCGAACACCGCCAGCCCAGGAAATTCGTCAGCGGCCGCTACCTCGACTACCATCGACAGATGGACTACGAGCTGGACAAGCGGCCGACACGACTGACGGCAAAGAGCCCGACTACAGCGAATATGATTACATTCAAATGCAGAATGAAACGCCGATAGAGAAAACCGGAACTACTGCCGAACTGGCGCCGCAGCACGATTTTGGAGCTCACTACGACAGCTTACTCAAGAGATCACAGGTACGGGCTCACATAATTCAGATTATCATGATTGGTGTTGACAGGCTTTTGTCTCTAAAATATCGCACCAGATGTCCTAATTGTAACAGGCCCTTATCAATGATAGCTATTTAATGAACTGTTTTTCTAGGAAATGATCGCTGACAAGTCAACTGTCGCAGAAGTGCCAGCCCACGTATGCAATGACCACATGCTACGAGAGTATTATTCCCCTCGGCTTAACGATGCGATATCCTACCTTAGTGAATCGATCTCCGCTTTTCTCGCAGCCATCGAAAAGAACCGACCGCCACGCATATTTGTTGAACATACGAAATTCGTATTGATTGCCGCGCATCGCGTTGCTTGCATCGGCGATACGCTACATCGGCATCTAGCCGATCATGGCGAGAGCGAGAAGTTTCGTCGTTGCTCAGAAAAGATTTCTACCTCGTTAAGGCTTCTTGTAGACACAACGAAGCGAGCAGCTCTGCATTTCCCAGCCGTGGTGGCTATCCAGGAAATGGTCGATACAGTAATGGCTGTGAGCCATCTGTGTCACGCACTCAAAGGCTGTTTTGTCGTTAACACACCCCAGCTTCAACAAGCCGAGCAACAACAACAACAACAGCTGCAGACAGCCTCTTCTGCTACACCGGCGGGGATGATTGTCAACTAAAAGGACAAACTGGAAAAAGAAAACCGCACAGAAAGTCGTGGATGTAACAAACTATGGTTATTCGATTTTGGTGTTTGGAGAAAGGTAACCTCCCATTCGTCTTCTAACTGATCCGCTCTGGTTCTAAAAGTCAATACTTAAAATCCCGTCAACGAACCTGTACGAAAAAATATACCTACAAACTGCTCGTAGCGTAGAAATGCGAAAGTTGTCTTATCTATGTAGCGTATTTGGGGAAGCTCAGAAGCCAGTAATGCCTCAAATTTACATACAGAGTTACTATGCTTCGAGTTATTTGAAGAGAACAGCTCGTTCCAGCTCTGCTACTGAAAGTATCGTTAAAAAAACTGGTTTGGTGTTATCTGGAAAAACCATTTCGTTTTGGCGGCACAATTGTTGCGGGGTTATATCGGAAGGCAGTTTGTCGGATGCCCCGTTTGGATGCCCCCGTATATATATATATATATATATATATATATATGCAAAGTTCAACTAAAACAAAAATGCAGAAAACGACTAAGAAGTTCTGCAAGCTGTAGCTTCATAGCCCATTTAAGCAGAGGATGCTTAAATGGACTATGGAACTGCACGAAATGTGAGTGGGTGTAATTGTAGAACCTAGCCTTAAGGATATGACTAAGCGGTAACTTGTAGTTGCAACATGTGAATCAGTGCAATTATCTGAAGCTCCTGTAAATTATGTCGAAAAGAACAGATCATAAAGTATGTTTATGTAGAGACGCAAGTGAAATAGATCGGAAGTGTTGCAACCGGTATAAATAGATCTTACTGGACAATGCTAATGAATTGTCGTTTAAGAAAATCAGTTACAAGACAAAACAACAGACAACCCCCTGACGAGCCAGGTATCTAACACAATGTCAAGCGTCCTTGTTCTATTATAGTATTCCATTGGGCAGACACAAATTTCCCCAGGTATTAAAACATTATATTAATATTAATGAAACTTAAAAACGGGGTTGTTTGAGAAGCTAGAAAGGTTATCGACAATTGCTAAATGATAGGCAATTGCCGCGATAGTTCAAAGGTCAATGTGAGCCGAACTGAGTCCGGGCACTTCAACAACGAAACACGTGAATATGAAGATAGCCTGAATGCTTTCGATATATCTAGTCAATAAGTACCATGTCGAAGTTAATCCTTACAAACCATTCAGTCACAGTAAAATCAGTGTCAACAACGTTGTATTTAAAAAATAGGATAAAATCGTCTGCGGAGCTGACTGAATACGCGAGGCATTTCGAAATACGCGCGAAGCATTAGTCGGAAAGATACCAGAGGGTTCATTCGAGGAACCCCCGGTTGCCTAAACCATCGTCGTAAGTTTTGTTCATGATGTGAGTCTCCCGATGGAACTGCTGAAATACATACAGCGTTAACTTATATGTATTCGTTGGTTCTACTTGTAAATGGATCTTGAGGATTACATGTTGCTTTCAACACGTTCTGCTATCCATGAATTAGAAGAGATTTCTGCTCGGCTATTGTCCTTAATTCTAAACGTTTCCCACTTACCAATCGCAATCGCTCCTCTGAACATTAACTCACCCGAGACGCTACGGCGTCAGTAACGTGAAGTGCCCGGAATCCAATGGTGGAAACAGGACGGTATTGGAAGAATTGAATGTTTCACCATTGGAAGGCCAGCGGTAGGTTATCACCGTCGTGCGTGTACAATATTGCCGTGTGTATATGAGTCGAATGAGCGACGTGGATATGAGATGAATGAAACGTACGTAACAAGAGTGTGTGGTCACTGGTAAATAGCACAACTCGATAATGATAGTAATAACTACATTAACAATAATATTATGTAAACACAACTTGAGCGAAGGGAAGATGGAGTAGACGAAGGAGAAATAAAGTATCACTGCTAATGTACAAAGTCATAATAAAAATCGTGCCATCATTATACGAATACATTTAGCGCCTTAGGCCAATTTTAAACGTATAAGGACGAACAACTAATTATTCTGGGAGAACTGGCCGAGACATGGAAGTCTTTGCTTGTTATCACATTTAAAACATTAATGCTAGCGGATCCGTTTGTCTTCAACTTAATATGTTCTGAGTTTTTGCCAGTTGCAGTTTTCCCGCTACCCTGTTGAACCAGTCAGTAAATCCTATTTCGTTGCTCGAACTATTCCGTTACATTGCTTGTTATCCGAGTAACCTGGGTGATGCTATACACAAAAAAGGTTATTTAACCAACTTTTGTGAGGAACATTAACTTTTGCGGCACGTGTTCTAAAGTTTAACTGGACTATCGTGAACCGTAACGGCTTCTCAGAGTACTAGTCAGAGATTTAACGTGCATCTTTCCGCGGCTTTTTAGAGTGAAGGATGTGCTGGCCGTAAACGATGAGAAGAAACGTGGTAAACATCTATCAGGCCCGTTGACATCGACCTAACACCTATTTCAACCCAGTCTTACTTAAAATAAACCCCTTCGTCAACAATGTTGTATTTGAACATAGCTTATATAGATTCCCAGGAACCTGGCCGAAAACTACCCCGGAATCTATTAAAGTATTACCCCGGGCTGTCCTACTTTTGGAATAGCTTGCAGATACACTTGTACAAAGCATGGTTGAAATTTCCACTTGTTTCCCCGGGGAGTCGAAAATACCAAGTGTATATAAGTACCGGAGGTTGATGCGTAAAGCATTTTTATGAAAACTGAGGAGTTACGTCTAAGTAGTTGCTTAAAAAGAACTTATAAACAAAGGTTCACTATGAGGGTGACCTAAAAGTCTATTTCGAAGCCTAAAAAAGGTGAGGCAGAAATGCGCTGCGACCTGCAGTTGATCTCGTTTCGTCCTGCACCAAAATGTTACTATCTATATCAAAAAGCTATTTGAGATGACGCACTTTTTGCATTAATATGTGCGAGAAGTCCAGTTGAGTCATCGTTCAAAGACCCTGGGATCGCTTTGCCAAAAGCGGTAAGACCTGCTGGTGTATTCATTTAAATTAAAGTACGCTGTTCTCTATTAGCGTTCACAACATGTTAGCATGTATTTCTTACGGAAGACAGCCATTGCGAATAATGGCTTTCCATAGCGCAGATCACAAAGGACAAAAGGACTCTTCTTAAATAATGAGCTTTTGTATTGTTCTTTATGTAACCCGAAAGATATTACAGTGAAACAAATAGACAGAATTTCGCTCTGAATAAAAATGACCATTAAAGCGTATTAAAAAGGATACCTTTATCTGCACTGCTGTGCGTATTTAGCTGTATGTTTTATAGGTAGGATAAATTGTACCAATGACAACCTATGTAGGACGGCACACTTTCATGGTATGAGCTCTATTATGTTTAAAATAATGGCTTAATAAATAACAAGTGTCTCCGATCAAAGTGGAATATTTTGGTCTAGAATTAAACATTTATCCCCACCGTAGCACACCTGACTATACATTCCTTGTTGTTTATTTCTGTTATGATAAATCCGAAACTTAATCAGAGTCCCTGAAGCGTTCTTATTAGGGTAAATCCTCGTGGTCAATCATCGTTAGTAGCATCTTCTCTACTTCTTGATACTTCAAGATACTACTTCTTGTAATAAGCGTGCCCATATCCTGGGCTAGCATGTCCTAAACTATACCCGTAGTCTTTTCCATAATTAATCCCGTACGCGTACGGAATACCATGTGCACCATAACTTAACGGAATATAACCGTAAGTATTGTAAAGTCCAGGTGGAGGGTAACTAGCGTGGCTAAACCCTAGCACGCAGGCTACGAGCACAACGAGTACACTCTGCAAGCAAACATTCGCAAAACATGCAAGTTAGTACGACGTACCTATGGATAGGGTGCAGGCTGTAGAATAAAGCGGGTCAATAGGATGTTTTGTATAATTATGAGCTCGCCGAAAACACCTAAGAAATTTTGTTGCCTAATTTCCTGTACTTTGTGAATGCATAGATACAAACTTAAGCACGTTCACGTATACCATATTTGTAGAAACATTTTAAGCACTTACAGCGATTGTGGTCATGTTGAATTTGTTATTGGGCTACTGACGATGTAACTCGGTGTAACTTCTATAGCTGAAGTTTAAATAGCAATGATTTCTGGAAAGGAGGATTGGTGCGAGACGACAAATTATTATAGCTACCATTCTTAATACCTGGACAGGGCAGATATTTTTCGCTAAAAAACGACTAAAATATCGTGACTGTAGAGCGTATACTTGTTAACGAAATTTGGAATTTTGTTCAAGACGCTTGTGGGACAAAAAAGGGAAATTTGTCGATAACGATCAAATGCTTATGATAGACCACGTTAGACCATAATAAAGAAGGCTGACGGAGCTTTGACGAAAGTGCTATAATGTATCGGCTGTCAGCGCAGACGTAGCTGTCTTATGAATCACACGACACAGGGAGAACTCGGTATCAGCGCTAATGGCGTTGCGGGCCAGACTGGAGGCATTCCATCATGCCATTCGACCTCTTTAGAAATCATACGATCCATATGTTTAGTCAGATACAGTTTCATTCTCTGCGGAAACGATGAAAAGGTGTTTGTTTGTTGGCCACTCGAGACTTCCACTTTATTTTATAGGAGAATCGTGGGCGATAAGTGGATAAGACATTTGAAGATTAAAAACTTGCATGCTGTCTTATCTAGCATGAGCGTTTCTTCAACTTTTGTTCCAACACACGCGCACTGTTTTGATATCTAAAGATAATATAAAGTTTAAATGAACATCCGCCATATGGGGTACGCAGTAAGGCAAATTATCCTATGTTGGCAGGTTACCAATATTCTTTTTGCTATATGTTTTTTTGTGATATATTTAGACATCTCCTTTATGATTTACTAGTACGATTTGTATAAATAACTATAAAATAAACCGTTCTTTTAGTCTGTATCGACTTTCTGTACAAGATTTTGAGTTGTCTTAAAGCTGTATTTGAATGCATTGTCAGACGAATAAGTTATTATTTGAGCCTGTTTATTAAAAGGTAAAACCTACGGTATACGGTTTGAATATTGGATGAGGGATATAGTTTAAAAACAGTTGAAGTATTCAATAGTAAAGCTTTTAAGTCGGTTTGTATTTTTTAAAAACAATTACGATATTTAAGTCGTCAATTTCTGGTGTCTTTTCCAAGCTTCTCCTCGATTCGAGTCCGTTCGCATAATAAAATATGAATTTTTAGATTAAATTTTTTCACGGCGATCCCCTAGTAAAAAAAACTATACCTTTTTTTAACGTTTTGTAGAAAGGAAAGGTGAAACTTTATTTAGAATTCCATAGGTCATTCTAGATGTTGACCCAAGTTTTGCGTCCTCTGAGATACGTCTTTTTTCCATCGTTATCAAGTAAATTACATTATCCGTGCACGTGTCTTCAGAACAAGGAAGACATATTGCGCATAACATTACTAATTTAAAATCATCAAACTTCGGTTAATTTCCCATCGGCGTGGATAATGTTTTGAGCACAGTATGCGCACTGTATTAATATATATATATATATATATATGTTTAATACAACGAACGAGCTTCGCTAATTTGCTAGACTGCCTTTACACTCCCCTAGCAACTGATTTGACTTCGGCTTTACATTTCGGCAATGCTTACCTACTCTTGTTTTCTACGGGAACAATGATTTCAAATGTCGACTTATCACTGCCGTTATTGCTGACAGTCGAACACCACAATGCTGGACTACGGAAAAATTGGTCCCTAAAATATAGGTTCTGGCAATGGGTTAAGTCATGATTTGGGCAAACATAGGGATATATATATAATGAGAACAACATAAAACGATTGGTATGCCTTTCAGCGAAATACTAGCGTAAAGTGCTCCGTCGTTAAACGTTGAAGAAGAAATTGGATGGACTATTTTACCGTTAACAGAATATGCCCCTGAAACAAAATGAAACAAGGTACAAGCGAAAAAAGGCAGCCATGCACTGAAGCGGAACTTTGGGTCTCAGAAGAAATCCTGTGTTTTTACTTTCATCCGCAAAAAAATACATAACAGAAAAAGTTTCCCTCTTCCAAACACGTACACCACACTAGAGTTTGCAGGATGGCCATACTGCGTCATTATGGAAGATATGATTGCAGCCGTTCTATGAAAGTAGCAGAATGGTACTTTCTTCTTTGCTTCGCGTATAGCCGGCAAGAACGTATAAATATTATGTTTTTTGAGATTCTACTATCGGCTCGCCGGCGTTCGCTATGGTAGACGCTTACTGGTCGTACTAAAAAAAGGACTAGCATTCCCTGCGACGTCAACTGCGGGCTGTGTCCTTTCTTCTCATAATAAGCTATATACTTTAAAAAATAATTAGTCGAAACTTATTATAAAAATATCATCATTACTAGCAACGGATTGACGGAATACGATGACAACTGAAAGTATTTTTCTATTATTCTAGTTAGAGGGACGAAGGAATATAGCAGTGGCATGATGTCCCGCTGAGCAAAGCTGGTGGAGAGTGAAGGCTCGACAGCCACCTAATACATATGAAATAACTTGCCCAAAAAGAGATCCAAAACATATGTATTATAATCAGAAATAGACAAGCGGTTAAGCGGAACCCAGTTGAAATGCTGACATCGCGGTCCAAGGTCAATAATAAGGAGGTCTTACGCACCGGGACTGGAGGTCGCAGGCACTGCAGAAGTTGTTCATGTCTGCGGCGGGAATTGTCTGGCTCAATATGGAAATTCCCTCGGAAAACCTCATAACGAGCGCATGCTATGGAGTAAAAAGATAGTCTTACGTCGGGAATCGTCCAGTTTTAATACTTTTTGTATAGCGTTTCAATGAATATTCTTTTAATTTAAAAACGTCAGGAAATGGTTTAACTGCTAGTGATTTTTCGTAATCCGTCTTAGAGTGAAAGACCTGAAAGAGTCAGAAAAAACAAGTTGATCATATATAGGTTTTCTCCTTTGTTCAACAATTTTTGAAGTACCCAGACAAACCTCATGCAGGATGACCTTCCAGCATGTTGTTATCCGTTATTTGAAAAGGGATACACTAGAGCTTGAAAGTTACGATTACACGAAAGGTAACATATCAATAATATGGCTTCAACAGCTCCCAAAGACGGACAAAAAGTCGCAACGAAGTAGCACGAAAACAAGAACCTACCCTTGATCAGGAGCAGAAAACGCTGTAACTTCGGCGAATTCTACTGGAACTGAAAAGCCTTAGCTGAAGTTTTATTCTACGACGGCGACTTGGCGAAGTACTTAATATGTGAGCAAATGTGGTTCGATATCTGCAAACGAATTTAGCAGGTGAAGCTCATAAAAATAAGAATTAGAAGTCGGTGCTTTCCATTAAAATGAACTTTTAATGAATATCATATTTGGTAAAATGTTTGTAGCTGGCCCAAATGAACATTTACGATTAAGAAGCAAATAGATATACAAACAGCTAAAGGGAATAGAAAAATCTTTATCAGTTTATTTTTTCCTTAATTATTAGTGTATTTCTACTTACCTTTTTGTAGAATGCTCAGTATATTTGTGTAAGGCTTGTAATGGTTGACCCCATTCCTTTTTTTCGCAATTCGAAAATTGCTTTTTCAGGAGAAAGAACAGACATTGCCACTCCAAATGGTGAAGTTCTGTCTGTTCTTTTGCCGCGCTTACATGTAATATCCTAATAATTAAAAAGATACGTCCTTTCAATATCTCTAATATTTGAGTTTTATTCATTCTTGTGTACAAACACAACAAATAATCATAAGTAACCTTATCATTGCACTAATTAGAAGCGTATTTAAATATATGCTGTCATTATGGCAGTTGTTTTGCATGTTATTTTTATGTTTTGCATTATGGCATGCTGTTGTGTGATTTTGCGAAAAAATTGAACAAAAATTCAGAATTTCGGTTAGAAATCTCAGTCATTCTAAAATATGTGTATAGACAATGAAGGCCGCAGTCCTTGCCCTGGGGACATATCGAATATATTGTGATCGTCGAGGAATTCACGACGTGCGTGCTACCGTATTTATATACAGTGATAAACGATGCGACGTAAAAATAGATAGGTTCTTATGTGCGATGCGTTCTTCAGTTAAGTACACAAACACAACGTACCTGTTATTAGAACTCAACTCTATTGCTATTTAAAAGGAAGATTAATAAGTTATAATGTAGACTAGATTAATCTCTCTGCTATTTCAGTGATAGACGAAACAACTAAATAAAGACATCAAATCATAGACGCTAATTCGGATTACCATACGCGATCCAATATGCGTCATAATTTGACTTTATATATACGTACGAGAAAGGTCAGCGGTGTAATTTCAATAATGACCCGAATATAGAACTTTAAGGCGTTTAATATCAGTAATTTCTTTATGAATTTCGCAGTGAAATAACTGATTCAGTTTGTAAGGCAACTTAGTGCATAGGTCTAAGTAATCACTGATTTTGCGGCTCTCGCTAACGGTAAGTTCCAAAGGTTTCCTGGCTTAAAAACTGTACATTCAACTATAGTTACCTTAATCAATTTCTGTGTACAGTCACCTTTTGTTTGCGATAGGCTAGTTACAAAATGATATCAATGCTAATAGGTATCAGGTCAGTACATTAATATACTCATGTCGCTTAAGCGATAGTTCTGGCCTGGCGTCACAAATTACAATTAAAACATCATAAATTATACTACATGAACGAGTCAAACAGCAACACGACAGCAGAATTCTCGTAATCCATCCAGCTGCATGTGTACATATGTATGGGATGGTTGATACAATGGTTTAGATTCGCCAAACTACGACGTATTTTTTGCACTAGCATCCAGATGTAACCGAAAATAAGACAAGCACGATAAATAGGACCCGCGCACTCGGCAAAATTTTTGTTGGAAGCTAGGCTCCAGAAGCGCTTTTTGAATGCGTCGAAGTAGTAGGATTAACAAGACATACTGATGCATCTATTAAACGTTAGTGTCTATATTATTTTAGCTACAGACATCTGACGATTTTCACCCACAAACTTGCAACGAACACCTTTTATATTTTTCCTCTCAAAAAGTTTACTATTTGATCTCAGCATGTTTCATAACATCTGACGTCTATTTAGTTATAAGCAACGGTGATGCTATTTGCATACTTGCTGTCTCCCACTACGAGGTAATTATTTACCATTGGTAGTCGTTAAGCCGGGTTTAATAAATACAAAGTTCGTTATATCAGCTTTTCCATTTTATACATGTAGTGCTTATAGTAATAGGTGATTTGTGATTATTCAACACGTGTTCTGTCAGCTTAGAGCAACTTCCATAGCATGACTTAAAAGTACCAAAAAAGCGTTCCCTTAAATGTATCTGACTTATTGCGCTGCGATAATTACGACTGCACAATAAAACTTGATCATCTATTATCATTGTTCACAACATTTATCACAGTGAATAAGCTATCAAAACGCACTAATGCCATTAAAAGGTCATAGTAACTCTGTTAACTTTGGTATTTACTTATTTAGCTGAATGATTCCTATGCAATTAGTGGACACCGGGTCCAATGAGTCGTTGATTTTAGCCAGACGTAAGCATACGTTGGGTCACTATTGTTTTGCTTTGCATCTTTCCGCAGGGTAGAATAGCGCCATTTTTTTCATAGGCTTTTCAAAAAGCTTGAAATTGACAAAAATATGTAACTTTAGATTAATGGTATATTAATAGAATAATTTTTTCAGCAGAGGTTATTTGCTTCAAAGGCGCTCACCGATGATTTCTGGAGCCGTACACTAAGGCCTAGTAAATTCCCACGATGTTACAAGTGAATTTAAAGCGCACAACGATAATAATATGATCATTTAACTAGCACAGCTTTCGTATGCTGGTATCCGCTTTACTGAAGCGAAAAGTTAACAAATAATTTATTAATTTTTATGTTATCTACGTAGCCATTGCCAGAAAACACTATGATTATTATTTGATGTTTCACAAATTGTTCTAGCTCTGATGTATAAATATAGATATTTTGTAATTACATATATTGATTACTTATATGTTTTTCTAAATGTTCCAGCAATGCATTACTAATAACTTGTAAATTATTATTGTAAAGGATCCATATATGATAGTCATGTTACGCCAATTCAGTGTTGGAAAGTACTAGTTACCTTTGTGTCAACTGGAAGCTCTTAAAAGACGTGTGTTTTGACTTGTCTACAATTAATCGTTTACATACAGGTACAGTAACTCATACAAATCACAGTGCACGTAATACGTGTCATGCAGCGCCCCACTCCCTGTTTAATATACGAAGCCCGTTCTATGTTGAAGCTCCCGCTAGCATATCGATTCTGCGACAGACTGTTCAGACTGCCAGTTACTGCATATGTACCAACGGGATCGATGATCTGATTCAACGCGCTGCCGCCAGTTGGACACTTAAACGCTGAGAAAAGTATTGCTATTTCAGCATAGTCAAAGGCAATATTTATACTTATATCACACTTTCGTTTTTCCGGGGTGTAAATTAGTTCAAGTTGCTCTTTGGGTATCTATCTAAATTTGTGTGTGTGTGTGGATGTGTTAATCTTGTACGGATTCTTATTAGCCGATATTCAAACATTTCTCTACAGTTTACGTTATAGCCCACTTAATCGTAACTATGCGATATATCGTGCTTATTTCATTGCAGGGACAAACCGCCGCACGACAACCGTTATACGGGCATTCCTCGTAAGCATATGTTTTTCTATAGACATTACCTTGTCATTCGTCGTGTTGTTGCGAGCTTTTTGCCTGGATATGCTACAGTATAGGGTAAGACGCTTCGTCTTCGTGGAGGCTTGCCATTGGAATCCCCTAAAATCGCTGAGAAGGTAGTTGGTGCAGTTGTGGCTGAACTGCTTGGGGTCTGAGTCGGCACTGAAATTTTCCTTTTCCATCTCTCCAGTTTTCGCTTACCGATACTACAGCAAGAAAGGATCTCCTGGGAAACGGTGGTGCTATTTGTTGTCTACATAAATGGCGGTCGACGGTTTTCACCTCAGTGTTTGGTGTAAGCGTCAGTGAACACCAAGGATGAGGGTGTCGATAAAGGTACGATGAATTGACTTATTACTTTAAGATGCTATGTTCTGAACCAGTGTTGGAGAAGTGTCTAACGGACCAGACAGAACGGATACTTATGTAGAGAAGTGCCTGCTGTTATTGTGCTGTGTATGGATGCCCCTGAGGATACTCCTGAAGTTGTTTGAGACAAACCCTCGTAGATAATGCGATTAGCGATATTTACAGTGTATATGAAAACAATAAAGCCGAAAAAAACTAATAGCCATATGGTAGTACCTTAATAACTTAATGTATGACAAGGAATTGGGTACCTCAATATAATGATGTGTAGTCGCCATATAACTAGTACTATCAAGTGTTCCTCTAGTAAACCATCCACGGGGCAACAAATTCTTCTGTAAGGTTTATATAGATTTTAGGAAAATGTTTTTGCACGCTGTCTGGTTCACCGGGAGGCCATTTCCAAAAGGCGAACGTAACAACCAAATACCAATTTCAGGAAGTACTATTCTTAGTGGCTCTGATAGTCACACACGATCGCATCGCCTCGGCTTCTGGTCAGCCAGTTTCTCACGAGGAAACATCGCAAGAAGAAGAAATCTCTGCACCCGGCGAATTTCCACTTTCGCCTTTGTCTTCATCTTCAGATGACATTAGCGATCTCAAGCGCCAAAACCTTGTCAAAGTTCGAAATGAACATCGTAAAATTGACGAACACATCGATCGCAAGTCGTCGGAGAGCATTCACGCAGCTGCTTACCTTCCTCCACCAACGACCGTTGTTCAAACCGTTCACACGCGGCCAGCTGTCGTAGCGGCCCCGCCTGTTCTGGTTGCCCCTCCGACGGTGATCGTGCCGGAGCCTTCAGTTGTCGTGGCTCCGACGCAACTTCCTGTTGGGCCCCTTCATCCAGTTCCTGTACAGCCGCTATATCGACCAAAGCCAGGGGTAGTACCCGTTGCGCCAATTCATCGAAACCATTTTCTGCCACCAGTTCCTGTTGCTGCTGCTCCTGTGGCACCGCTACTTAGTCCCTTATCTTCTCCTGTGGGGCACATTGGTGCTCCGGTGCGACCAACTATACACGTCCCGCATCGTCAGCTGCACATCAACGGACCTGCAGCCCCACCTGCACTTGTAGCACCACCACCACCACCACCGTCACCGCTGCCTCCGCATTTCTCTCATATTATTCCAGTAGCACCTGCCCCCATATTGGCTCGTCCACCTGTTCCGATTCACCGGCCCATACCACCGCCGCCGATATTTATCCATAAAGTACGACCATATATAACCCATATATTATCGTTCAAGTCAATAGGCGTAAGACCAGATTTAATATAACTGGATTGTGATTCGATTTAACTTTGAGGAGAACATTTGCGGTGAACAAAATTGGCGATTTTTCTCGGTACAGTTAGGGTATATGGTGTTCATTTGAGCAGAGTATTGCGTTGAGTATATAGACTGGCCAGAAAAATATATATACGTAAACACCAGTCCCTGAAAAAGAAGACAGCCACCTTATTTTATAATTAATCTAATTTATCATTGCAGTCTCTGAAGTATTTTTATATTTATAAGTTTAGATTATAACTTTGGTATTGTTGTCAAAGAACATCTCCTTTACTTACACTTCCATCCCAGGTGATTCAGCCGGTTCCAGTGGCACCTTTACCGCCGACCACAGTCATTGTACACCGACCCGCGCCTTATCCACTGCGTCCACCAACGCAACGCCCCATACTTTTTGAAAAGGTCCACACGCTTACGGGATGTCAGATACTGGAACCACAAAAACAGGTGTGAAATTAGTGATTATTTTATTATTTACGTAGAACACCGCAGAGCCACGACCTTTGACAGATTTATCCAGAACAAACAAATCTATGATGATATTGCATGCATACGCTAACGAATATAGCGACCTGCCATTTATATGCCGACTGCACGTCGTAATTCTGTAAGGCCTGCCCTAGCCCACGTCCAATTGAGTTCGATATATGGAGACATATCGGACGTTTCCAAAAGTGTTTAATCATTAGATGTTTTTTTTTGTGTTTACAATAGAAAGAGCCTGTAATCGCTCAAGAAATGCCAATGTTAATGATGACAACGACGACGCCCAAACCGAAGCCAGAGCCGATGATGCCGGTCCCAATGCCCATGATGTCGAAACCGCACCACCACTTCCACAATGTTTTCAAGTGAGACCTCCTAAATTCTATGCAAGGATGCCCGACGTTTCGGAGTAAAGATTCAAACATTTTTCCTAGTTTCAAAGACGATGTCAGTATATTTAGTATTGTTTCTTAGTGAGGACTAATATTATAACGCATCCTATGGCTTTCACTTCTCGTTACATTAAGTGAGTAATTAAAAACCATAGGCGAGATATCTTATGTAGGAAACAGAACGTGTGATAACTGGGATTCTTCCTTGAAGATTTTTCATATAAGAAACTTCCTAATTTTCTAGTATATGCTTGCAAAATTTAACGATCTTATTTAAATAATTGTCGCGTTCATTTATTTAATGAGAGCATCTGCCTCAGTGTTAAATTATTTATTACTATTATTATAAAACGTGATTTTCTTATCAAATTTCATTCATATTATAAGCGTTTATGACATTGCACTCTTATTCGATACACAAATAGTTCCTACCTGTCGTTCTAATGGGACCTTCGCAAAAAACCAACGTAACGAAGGAAAACCATAAGTATATACCATATATAAGTATATATATATATATATATATATAAGATATTCCTGTATATGTGAAGGTTCCACGTATTTGCAAACGCTCCAGCGTCTCATTAACAAATGAATTTATATCGTCAATTAGAAGCATTAACTAAACCTTTTATGTTGGATTTTTGCACTCGCACTCATTCCCTCTATTCACATAGGTACCCTCTAATGTCACATGATCACCATATCGATACGCACCATCATGCGCATGATATGCACGACGTACATGATATGCACGACAATGGCGATCATGAACATTATCATGGTCACTCGTGGGAAAGTCATGAAGATGAAGCGGGATCCAGCAAATCCAAATGGAAGTTTGGGAAGCTGTTCAAGAAGAATAAAGGCGGGCACACTCATGACCATAATCATGGACACGGGCATAGAGGACGCAAAGAAGGCAAAAGGAAATTTAGCCTGTTTGGTTAGCACAAGCAAAGGTGAATAGACTATTATTTCGAATCGGTCTGGCCTGTTGTTACTTTTATAAAAAAATGAACAGATTCCCAATAAACTGCCGAAGCTGGTCTTCAGTTAAATTCTGTATGTATTTGTAAAATTAAATCAAAATAAATTGATAAAATATTAAATAAAATGTGACAATATGTAATGTATGCATGGTGCTTTATTTGCGATTAGATTTAGAAACTGCACCTTAACTATTATATAATAAATGGTATAAGACTGCAACGCATGCTAATGAATACCTAGCTTCTATGGAATAAATAAAGCTTAGATATAAGACAGGCAGATCCTTTTGTTTAAGCTGTAACATGGATTTAGGATGAAGCATTTTACATTATATATGTTCGTTTAAAAGCCATTCTTAATTCGAAGGCAATAGTAGGAACGGACACAATAACTAGCATAAAAAATTGGTCAACAAAGACCCGCTTCATTTCAAGGCGACAGCTAATTCGGTTCGTTTAAAGGGGAAGAACTTTGGGTACCGTTACTTAATACAACAAAGACCCGCTTCATTTCAAGGCGACAGCTAATTCGGTTCGTTTAAAGGGGAAGAACTTTGGGTACCGTTACTTAATATGGAAAAGTCAGTGAGGTTATTTTTCGACCAATCGGAAGTTCCGACAGTAAAAATAAAAACTTGAAAACATTAGCATAAGTTTATTCATATCCCCCCTGTGCACATAGTTGTCGTGATAGCTTAGCGGTTAACGTATTTGCCTGTTCATCTTAAGGACATTTCAGATGAAATGCTTAACGGCGATACCGAATGTAAAAGCTCGAAATGTAGAGGTTCATTCACATACATATGCCATGCTTTATTAATGATCCTTTAAAGAACAAAACACTATTCATCGTACAAAATTAACAGCTTCTTTTTTGGCCTTTCGTAGCTCAAGATGTTCCTTCTGGACAGCGAATGTGACATGGTTGAGTATTGTTTCTGTCGGATTTTCCTTAAAATGAGAATCCGCCAGCACGCTCTTAAATATGGCTATATCTTTCATCCTGAAATAAAGTGGACCCATCAGTTAGCTAAAATGAAAAGTGAACTATATCAGTAATTGTCTAACAATGAAAGACAGATATGAGATAACTTGATAACGGTAATATCATTTGGAAGTTACCGTTTGCACTTCCGTGTCAACTAACCTAACATGGAAAAACGTAATATAAAATAAGTATACTCACATTTCTTTATGTTTCTGTTTGGCCTTCATTCCGTTTCTGTCCTTTTTAACCTTATTTTGGCCGGATTTTCTACTCGCGTGAGTTTCAGTAGCTTTCTGCAAGTACAATTTGACAATTGGAAATGTAGGCTCCGTACAATTCAGTGGATTACTTACGAACATTAAATAACTAGGCATACGTTTATAAAGTTAAACGACGATACGCATGGAGCTTAGTAAACAAAAGTCTGGCTTTAAAAGATTGGATCTTTTATCCACGTTATATGCATCACGCAATCCTGAGTGAGAAACTGGCCTATTAATTCGTAAACACCAGGAATGGCAATAGCCACTGGGTTATATCCTGGTCTCTGCCTCGTTAGCTGTTGCTACCAAAACATTGATTATTAAAACAATAACCTTACACCTATGATTGCTATTCGAAACCAGGAAGGCCCGGGATATTTTATTGCACGATTTCTATTGTTTCTTACTCTCGCAACTTCTTACCTTCATTTATCCTTTTTTTACACGAATATTAATCATCTGTTCTAATCAGTTTTCGCTTTAAACGACTCGGAAGGAACTTACAGCAGCGCAATTCAGGTCCTGATAATAATTTTTTAAGCTTTAGATCCGAGTTTTTCCCAAAATGAGCTTTTCGTCATTGTTTAGTTTCTCTGGGCAAGACCACCACACAATTAAAAAAATCCGGTAATCAAAAGTGCCGCTATCCTCGAAAACAAGCGCAATAATTATAGGCGTTTTTGTGACTCGGTGCATGAATCAGCAATTTGATCTGATAAAAAAAATGTACTTCGATTTTTGAAAAAGATCATTTTCCGCTTGAAAATATATCGTTTTAGAGGCTTAACCAAATTTTAAATTACCTCTGATGCCTCGTGAAACATAAGATCAACAGAGGGAAGCGAATCCAATAGTGGTTTGAGATCTTTAGTGATCACAGTTTCCTCACGCTTCTTTCGCTCCTGTAACACCGATAAGGCAATCATACACGTTATAGAAGTAATAAGAACTAAGTACATCGTTTACTTCAATAGAAACCATTATTATGTCTGTTAAAGCAAATGGCAGTAATACCTTTAAATCGATCTCAAACTGTCGAGCCGCTTGAAGCTTTTTGAGAATCAGTTCCTTCTTTACTTTAGCTTTTTCCTTTTTGTTCTTGCCTTTTGTCACTTCCTTATAGATGCTAACCTACAGGAAATTATCAGAAACAAAACAAACAATGAAATTAAGAATATCCTATACATTATCATTTTTATGTCTACCATATTCGAGCAAGGCCATAAGGCAAAGTTAACATGTCAGTTATTTCTAAGGTCACACATGTCGGATGTTCTATGAATAGCTTTACTAAATAATATGATCGGATAAACCCACTAAACGAAGAGTAAACAAAACAGACATACTTTAGTAAATAAGCAAAGTATTAATACTAACCACTGTTTTCCGATCCCACTCTTCTGGTGGTGGGACGTTCAGGTTGACGTTCAAGCTGGCGGGATCGATCTTCAGGCCGGCAAATGGATTGAACATTGGCTGCTGGGGTGCACTATCTAGGGATTGGCTCCGCTGTAAAGCCGCGCAAAATTTGAACGCTATTTTTAATTAGATACTTTATGAACTACGTACATGGTAAAATTCCACTGTATATTAGTCTAATAACAGCTCAGACATTGTACAGGATTATCTTGTAATTGCTAATCGTGTAAGTATGACGAACATGTGCACCAATATTATACACACAGCATGTATCGTGGTTTTTGTCTATATAATTCATTATATACTAAGTTAGGCGAAAACCATGATACACGCCGTCATTATATAGCTGATCAAATTCTTGAAGCCATACTTGTCCCTGCCCGGCATTTATTTCATTGATATCGCCGCTAACGTTCTGTTTTCCGATTGCGGTGGCCGATTTTTCGTCTTGACGTTTTTTCGCGGCAAGATGGTATTTAAATCGACGACTTTTTGCCTTAGCCATTGCGATCGAACACGAGCTACTGCAGAAAAATAAAACAGTTGAAGAAAGATCCCTTACCAATCATAGAATAATGTACACTATAAATGTTGTCAGTGTTGATTAGTTGAGGAGTATGTAAATAGCGAGTTTTTGTTAATTCGCAGCAGTCACTTAGTTGATTCTCTCAAGATCCATTGTTGATATTTACAGGCGTACAGGTAACACATAGTGGACGATTAATGATACTTGAAAAACAATACGAATGATGCGTATTAAATGTATATCAAATACGACATGGAGATTAACAAATAATTTATAAATCATAGATTTAAAAACTTAATTTAAATTTCAAAATGTGAAACATCATTTTTCTATGAGTTGTGAACTAACGTATATGGAAACTATGTAAAAAAAAACTGGCTGGTTTTGAGTTTTGTCAACAGAAAATCTGAAATCTTACGAGGTTTTGAAATAAAGAAATGGTAAATCGTTTTCACTCCACGCACGGTTCGTATACTAGTTAAAATCACTGTCATCACAAAAGTTCTTGCTTACATAATATATTAATATAAATTTATGAGAGGGTTACACACTAACATTTAATGATCGAAGAACTATGTCCAGCTGTAGCGAGTTCGACGTTGGACAGAACTCACATAGCGTCGAAACATTCTACAGAAATAGAACCTTTCTTGTACCTTAGGAGAGGATCGACTGGCGGAAAATTTGAAAACTCGTCATGGATAGATTAAAACCATGGACCAGCATCTTCAGCTGATTCGTTTACTAAAGGCCGGATAGATTGTGTGAAGTGTGGCCAGTAGCCTTTCTATCAATATTTGGCCTTGAAATATTGAGTTTCCTCATTTGAAATTGGCCTGTGCCAAAGGACCCTACTCACAACGTAATTGCTAAACAAAAATATTTTTATGGATGATCTGAGCCACTTACATGTATTGTTATAGGCGCACACTAGTAAGCTACCTTCCCAATTTTGACAGAACTGTCGAATGAGGGACAGACGCATACAGAAAATTAAATTCTCTGTATCTATAAGCTAAGGCGGCAATTATTAAATCAATCGACCAAACGGTAAGGCCTGTCCCATCTATTCCTTTACACAAAGAGTAGTTTGTATTGGTGATAATGTAGAAACCGTTGCAGGAAGGCTATGTCCGCTATTTATTGAAGCACTGAACTTGCTCATAGGACCTTCATTAATATCATTATTATTATTGTTCCTTATCAAGTCGTATCCATGTCATGGCGGAAATGACAAGGATGTCCAGGGGGGCTAACAAAGCAACCTTTAAATTGTGTTTAGGTCAAGAATAAATTTCATTGTGCATATTTGTGGTCTCACTCACTTGACCTGTCTCAATCATACCAATAAACAAGATAGGAAACAAATATTTAGTTCGTTTCGTTTTCGCCTCATATTTGCGCACTGTATCCTATGTTTGTGCTAGGGATTTGTCTTATTGAACATTGGACCCAAACCTCGAAGGTTACAACATAGAAAATGTTAGGTCTAGGCGCACGTAATAAGGTTTGCAACGCTATAAATTTACACAGGGATGCAACCTACGTGAAAAAAATTTTTCATAAAAATACATAGCAATTGGTTTGTGGTTAGATACGTTTTATTTTAGAAATCCGAGCTAAAGTTGCTTAAGAACAATGGCATGGAAATCTGTACTTACTCATTAAACAAATCAAAAAGCAGGAGATTAAGATGAATAGCTAGTTAACAAGTTAGTACCCAGTGAAAGGTAATAGTTCTGCTGAAAGAAAACCCGGTAAAGGTTTCGTACTCGAAACTCGACAACCTACAGAACGAACAAACTTTGAGTTGTTAAAAAACATCCTTTAAATATCGGTGATTTAATTACTCAGCAATAAACGTTTCGAGGTTCTACGCTTGCTATTACATCCTTAAGCATTCCATACGATGGCTTGTTTTTTGCAACATGCAACAAGCATACCCACGGTAGGTTTTGACCAAAGTTCTGTAGGTAAACGTGTTACTACGACATCACCACGAAGTTGATTTGATTACCTATTCATCTCTACCACTCATACATACGCACCACAAAAAAATCGCGCGGTTCACCGACATATTAGGGTAGGCCGTTTGAACTTAAGACCCATACGAAACAAGTAGATATAAATTCTTAAATTTTAATAATCGATGTAATCCCTAAGCAGAAAAAATACGCAATAACAAAGTGCATTTTCGAGGTTTGACACGACACATTTTCAAATCAATGTTAAACGTATTCCATAAATATTTTAGTCTTCAGTGACTCCATTTGTGTTAACATTACTAACAGAGGAACGTGGTCACAGAGACAACTTGTCTACGGAGTAGTCATTCAGCTACAGTATAATTTATTCGCAATTCAAATTGACCGCCTTTTTTCGATAGATTTTTTATCCACACTGGGTTTATTAGCAGGGCGCAAGTCCCGGTCAAACCGGTACAGCCACGCAGAATAGGCTCTGTTCTGCTCTATTTCAGTTGGTGACTTTCTCGTGGCTCAGTCGGTATTACGGCGGTACTGCCACCCATCTCGGTTATAACCACCTTCCGAATGGACGTCTTATAGGATTAGTGTAAGATTTTTTGCTTGTAACCAGATCCATATGTACACGTATTTAACGTCACCGATCGAGCTAATAATAGGAGAGGTAAACTAACATGTAAATACAGTTATGTTTTATTAGCTCTATTGGCAGTAGCAGAAAAGAAAATCCGTGTAGCCAATCTGTAGCTAGTAGAATTTAACCGTTCTTTGAGCGTACATATTAATTGAACCTGCTCGTATGTAAAGATTGGATGGACTTAAGCTAAAATTGTTTGTTCGATCAGTCCGATGCATGTTGGCGTATCCAATCAAGGACTATGGGACGTAATGGCCTTATCACCGGTACCAATGTGAACAGCATTCTGAATATAGACCAATACGTATTGTCTTCCATACATACCGGTATTGTTATCATTTGACAAATAAAATCCTGAACGATCGGTATGTTTTATCCACAAGATTTATAAATCCCGCCACTTTTCTACACAAATATTATAATAATTACACGGTGATAGACGATCAGAGACAGGTCACGCTTCATCTAATGTATTGTAGTACACGCATGTACGAACAACTGAGAAAACGCGAGTCCAGTATATGAAACCCAGACCAATATAACTAAGCTCAATATGCAATTGTTATGATACCCCGTTTCTCGCTATCAGTAACACGAGTTCGTTTACTTTACAAAGTTACATTTTGCGTTGGTTGTAACTTCATCGTGTGTGTCGCGACGGCAGTTCACGTTATTATCGTAATGGAAATAACTACGCGTACTGTTCTTTTGTTATATATAATATAATGAAACTAATCTTTACATACGCCAATTTGCGAGTCGGCGGTGATTGGAAAAAAGTAACTTATCAATTATACAAAGGTATTTGGAGTTAAGACTTAAGGTCGAATAATTGAGGATCTGAAAGCGTCAAGTTGAGTCGAACGATTTGAAAAGATGCCTCAGATCGTCGCAAACCTTTGCTTTTAAAATTATCTGTGTATATATAGTATCAAAAGGATGGATTCTGTGGTCATTTTGTTCTCACGACGGCTGTAATGCTTCACCGTAACAAGTAAATACACGGCTATTGTTTTAGGTATTGCTGATTGTATAGATTTTGAGGCGATTGTTAATGAGCAGTTACCATATATAAATCAAGATGGCTATAAAACGCAGCGAGCCTTTATGTAGGCGTTCAACGATTTTATAAAAACTGTTCTAACGATAAAACGCGCCGTCGCATTGACTTCCCTGAATGAGTAATTTACAATGAATAGCACTGCCAAAACTCTATTATATATAGCCACGAGTTGCTGGACATCACAGTCTTGAAAATCTACACTTTGTCTACTGCTGGCTCAATTGTTGTTAGCATTAGTTTAACTATTCCGAACTTCATTAAAGTTATCCGAGTCAATCGGCGACGCATTAACTGTTCCGTATCTTTGTAATTCTGTGCTAGTACGCCACAGCACATTGGTACGTACGCTTTAATGCCAGTACATGGTATCGGTGTATATAAATCGCGCCATCTTAAGTAGTTGCTGTTGTCGGACAACCACAATATCGATCGTAATATCCCTCCATTCTGTGTTTCACTTGTACCTCATGTGGCCGTATTTCTGTATGGCGCCCCATGAAGTTTGGACCAGCAACAATCCGGCATTATGAATAATACAGGATGCTATCCTGCGTAAGTCAAATGATTTCCGCAATCATTAGCCGCGTTTGCTCATGCGTCACTTTACATGCTTAAATGATTGTTATTCCTTTTGTATGCTGATCGATCGCCAAAAAGGTTGAATGCGGTTTTAGAATCGCACGAGGTCAGTCATGTTTACGTCAATTCAGGTTGGTCGATCCTTTTCGCTAGAGATATCCGGGGGGCGTTGGAATTCGAACGATATCAATATTTCGCTCGGTTGTTGACAGTGCCACACGAATGGGTTCGAAGGTTTTGGGGACTTCGGGGTTCGGCCTCCAGCGCTAGTACCGACTGCAGACCGGCGGCAGCGAATACTACGCGACACGTAAGGCATCGGCATGCAACTTCGAGTTGGTCATCATGCGTTTCAAGTGAATCTGCTGTTGTCACTGTTGCGTCAGGGAGCCGCAAAGGCGTTGCAAAGAAACGCAACTTAAAAAATGTGGGCACGCTATCCACGGTGCGATCGCAAGCCGGATTGAATCGTGATATCCAATGATAGTGCACACTTCTGATTGATTCTAGTATTTTGCGCCATAATTTGATTGTGATCAGCCGTCGGCCGTTGTCGTGATCAACCTTGCAATTGTTGATGCTGTTGCTAAAGCTAGCCTTGGTCTGATCTATAGTTAAACTTTTACGAACTTTGGCCCGACGTAAGTGTGGTGAATAGAAGAGCAGTGACGACGAACAGCTGGTTTGGTCCAAAGAGGCACTAAGTTAGGGAATTATCATATTAATAACAGAAGTATATAACTGTATTATATATGGCCTGTGACAGGTACGCAAGCAATATAGGATGTATATAGAGATGAACAATTCTGCAGAAGAGGAATACTTCAATTATAGCTGCAGAGCTTGATAGAACCCAATGAAACAAGCCGTTGGGAGTGGAAGCAAGTGCGATTATTTTATTGTCATGTAGCCGTCACTGCTTTACTTTATGGCTTTTATATGGTGTAAAGATGTGAGAGCGTACGAAGAAAAGCCGATAACAATAACGAATTCATGACTATTCCCTCTAATAACGTTAGAACTTGTTGAACAGCAGGAAGCCACTGCTAATATCTCTTCAGTGGAAGTTATTTCAAAAACAGTGATTTTTATTCAGGGATGTTGACACCGATTTTGGTACGTTTTGTGGTGCCTTAGAACTAAACCATACGTCAGCTGAATAAGTAAAGGCGGCTATTACACTGGCAAACTTCTCGGGTCAATGCAGTTTCTGTATCGGATCTGCATGCAATATGGCGTACACCCTTAACGCGTGCTTAATACGTGATAAGACAAATATATTTCTCGATGAATTCACTGGGCCATCGGCTACCGATAACTAACGCACCGAACTATATTGCCTGTTATCATATTGACGCATAGCTGTTCATAGCAAATTGCTCGAGCTGCCATACTGAATTAATTAAATTTTACCATAATAACAATCAAATGTATACACTCTTTGCTGGAGTGTATTTATTTACTCGATTGGGAACATTTTTTTCGTAAGCTACGCTTGTACGTAAAACTGTGCTTGAAGGTAAAGTTTGAAAGCGATGTACGTCAGCACTTACAAATGCTTAGTACATATTTACTAATGTTATCGCAGATTTGTTCAAACGCAGTGATCTAAATATACTTCAGACTTAACTGAGCTCTTAGGCCTAACTCCTTGCTTTGGTTAACCTGCACTCGTTATAATAATCATTGACTTGATATCATTATTACTTAAACATAGATTTCAGGGTGGGAAGCTTTCAACGGCATGCCTAGTTTTCGGTACGTTTAATTGCAATTTACAAACGCACGAAGTTCCCTAAGGAATAACTTATGTCACGTAATTATAAGATTCAAATGTGTATCCTTGTTGTACTGCTTACGAAGTTTTCAATATACGCCTGATGGTATTTGAATCCGATTGTGTTTCTTGACTCCAAGTCAATGTAAGTCTTCGTATGACTGCCGTGAGAATATCTCAGAGCTTTACTCTTAGTTCTACTGCCCTCAAACGTTCTCTTTGTCTGGCCCTTTGGCACTAAAAGTATGCCCCGGTTTTTTTCAGCCAAGACTGCTTCACATGCTTCTATTATTCATGTATAGACTAAAATGTTAAGCTGCACTATTTCGAGAGCCTATTCTGGAATTAGTCAATAAAACAATAGACTCGAATGTATTTTTCCTGTTTGCGCCTTACTCATTGCTGACGCATCTAGAAAGACAGCGGAATATGCAGACGTCCAGCAGGCGTCCGGCATATTGGTCAGCGTAAATCTAATTTAATGAATCAATATATGACAATAATAATAAAAGAAAAATTCCTGCAGTTTGAGCGCGTCGCGAACCTGGTTGCGATCTAGGATAGGCAGTATTTGCACACATTCAAGACGCAATTCCGTTATATAGTAGTTAACACTATCCTATAGATTTCGCGGTGTCATATCCTGTACATACGGTCAGTTTTTGTTGGTAATTTCCATTGCCTGTACAATGTCACGCATCGACAAAGTACGACTGCACGAAGCTGTATAAGCGATTTTTAACAGTGCCTTGTTCTGCAGTTCAGACAATTTACCAAGCAACAAAGTCGGTCCTGTAAATCCAGGAAGCACGCGGTAGACACTTTATCCACATCGTTACGTATTCATCGTGCGACCAATATTTGTTCACTGTGAAACGTGGACGTTACACGGAGACGTTATTATGCCATCTGTTTAATTTGAAGTAAAAGCATAACGTGTTGTAACATATATATATATATTTAATATATTGTTGCTCTGCTCTGTTCTAATTTCTAGGTTCGGAACCGCCTAGAATTCCAAAAAAGCTTCCGAGTCAATAGTGTGCTCCATAGGCGCGTTTCCTGTTCAGGGCAGAGGAGCGTACGCCTCATAAGGACGCAAGAACCGCAATCGGTCTACAGACAATGTCTACAGACAAATTGTTTGAAATCGAACCCATCTAACCCAAGTTCCAGATCTGCGAAAGTACAGGTTAGCGACTACGGAGAATGCGTTTGCTCGGGATTAAACAAAGTCTCGCATTAATAGAGAAAGGAACAGTGTGTGATAGCATGCACGAAATTCTCCATTGTTGAGCTAGTACAGGTTTTGAGTACCGCACGTTGAGCACGTCCGTCTCTTGAACTCCAAACCTGTCAGTGGCAAATACGTTTGTTGCCATTGTTACCAACCGGCTACAACGTAATCATTTGGGAAAGCTCGTCGTAATGCGCTATGCCACAAGTATCAAGTCGATGATTTCACATGCCCAAGCTATAGGCAAACAGTTATCTATTCTTCGTTGTTAATTCGTAGCGAAGCTGAACATCCACACGAAATATTTGTATGGAGATCTTCACCGTAAGGGGGATGAGGCAAAGCTTGAAAGACGTATTTAGGCTATAGAGATTGGACGGCTGCATTGGGGGGACGAACGTGGGCATTTGCGGTGTTCGTAATAGTGCCCCAGAAAGACTACGAAGCTGGAAGATGGGAGGTAGTCCAGGGCGAAGGTTAATCAAGAAGAAATGGAGTCAATAAAATATGTATATGTTTTTTTGTGGAGATTTGCAGTTTTTTTTTTTTTGTTTCCCGTTAGCTTCCCAACTCAAAGTTCAACGCAACAAACACTCTCTTGTATATTTGAGCCCCCCTTTATAGTTTCGTGTTAATTATTACTAATTAAGTCATGCATATTAATTAGTGCCATTAATATTTGTGCAATAGAGACGTTTGTTTTTGTTTGGGCATGGCGCCTTGATAAATTTATGGGAACAAATCTCATAGCCGTTCCGAAGCTCGCACCATTGTGAAACTAAGGTAATAATTCGTTCGATACGTCATTAATACGTAATACGAATGTAGCACTATGGTTAAATTTGCGAAAATGTTGAACTTAAAAATAAATCATTTTAATTATTCTAATCGGTCGTCGTCAATTTTAGAATTTATATCATAGGTAAATGTGGTAAAAACTATGTCCGTTCTATGTATATATATATGTGTATATATATATGTGTGTATATATATATATATATATACATATACAAAACTGTATTTGACAATATAACTATGTTTTTACTAACTCTTCACCCAAAAAGCACGTACAGCTTTAGCTTAACAAGCAGGTGGGTACAATAATCGTCAACATACAATGAAACGTTTCGTAATCAAACAACTGGCTTAAATTTTACAAAATAGAGAACAATATCAGTGAACGAGTAACAAGAATCAATTGATAAATTCGAGTCGATGTGTGTGTGTGACCGTTTTCATATTGATATGGCGACTAATACCGGTCAAGAGCGATGCGGAGTCCGAGAAGATCGGAAGACTCGGATAGAGATATGGCTTTTCTAGTTACGGCCCACTGCTACCAAGGTGGCTCAGCTTCAACAGACATGCACAGATTTATTGTAGTACAGAAAAACGTTCAAGATCAAGGACTCGCTGTCTCCTTCGGCGTGTCCAACGCATTCTCGAAAATAAATAGTATATTTCGAGTGGGCTTGCTGCGGGCAAAAATGACTCTTTTGCTGGCCATTCTGACCAATAGCATCACGTACCGTTGCCACCAGCGAAACAAAACGTTTTTGACTCTTGTAAAGCCACATATTGTACCGAAGGCAGCGTTTGTTCTTTTTTGTTTAAGTGAGACATAAAGCTGTCTAGTATCGTAGAGCCTTCTCATTCGTTGTTCCTATTTGGTGTTTCGTAAAACGATACAAAACCGCAGAAAATCGGTTGACCTGAGCTAGATCCAGGCTAATTGATAGAATACTTTATTTTGTGATAGAAAGTTCGTGTTACTTTTGACGGCGTAATTAGACGCAAATTGATTTAGTACAGTATAAAAAGCACGTATTATCTCGAAACCTATTATTTTAAATTACAGTTTAGCTCGCTCACCATTATATAACGTCCCAAAAAGCCCATGCTAACGGCGGTCTTACGCTTCCTATGTTCATCCATTAACATAATTTGTCGATTTCATGAGCTGAAAACGATTGAAGTGAATTGAGGGAATTGTTTTGAGGCGACACGAAGCGTTTTTTGATGTAATCTGATTTGACTTCAGATTGGTTGACTATAGAAATAAAAGGAACCTTCTTGGACTTTTCGGATCATATCATCGATATTTTTGGGCAGCTAAAGTCTGATCCTCTGCAGCTTATCTCCCTTATCATCAATGCAATTCACGTACATTGTATTCTAACGAAATGGCGCTATGCAGACGTCAATATATCGCTCAAGATCTGCTTATGCTGTGGACTATGGTGTGGAGCTAGCAGGGGCATAACTATTCAGTACAAGTACGCTGTTAATAACGTTCTTGTTTAGTGGGCGGTAAGATGGCGGCCCATAGTTGTATGCCGCCGTTGATTGTCCTGCCACACTTGTCCCGTTAATTTTGCCTTAGATGCGGCTGACGTCTTTTATATAGAGCTACTTTTGACATTTGTCCACTACCCATATCTAAGTCTGGTACATGTAAACATGCTGTGAATAGGATTGATATGTTCATAGAGTGGGCCTACACCTCGTATCGCAGTTAGTAAGATTTTTTTGGGACACTGGTAGATCGACACACACAAAACAGAAAATAGCGAGTTTGTTGAGTAGACTTCGGTAGACGTAGATAGTTTTGCATTAATCCGCGAGCCAGAAGCTGCACCGTGGGCTGAAAAACGGATGTGCAACGAGCAAAAACTCAGACTTGCGTCTGCAGTATCTACGGTCATTGTCATTAGCCAGTCAGGAAAGGTCGTCACTTGCTCCCGATACCGGAACTTTTCAACGCTAGCACAACGATAGCCACTGTGAATTCATGGACTACGATGTGGCAACAAGGGCTTTTCTATGTTAAGGGCAACAATTGTTGCGCTAGGAGCTTAACTTACGCATGATTGGCCAGTGGCCCTTGAAATTGTCGTCACATTACATACTACGATATCTCATTTGTGCCTATCCAGATTTTTTGTACTTTCCACATACATCTTTATTATGTAACAGTCTAATTCAACGCTGCACCCAATTAGCCTGGCTTCATTCGCTGTATCCACCTTCAATTTGTGTCTCATAAATCATAAATTCATACAAAGCTATTGCATGCACATATGTCAACGATTCTCGCTAGCAAGAACTCTAACGGCTTCAGATGACTCAGCGTTCTGCATCGTCGGGTTTAGCAACTGAGCTGACATACGGGCCAGACGGTGGAGTGTGTCTCTCAAAAATGCCAATGTACGCGTACGGTCTTGTATATACATCTCAGTAATTGCATGGGGCAACACAGGCAGTTTTCAACGGTGTCGGTGTACCGTTGATGTCTCTCTTGTGAGCGTACGGGTGTGCGCGAGCGTTTCTGCGTGAGCCATTTGTCCAGAAAGGATCGCCCCTCGCGCGACCTTGAGCTCGCTGGTCTATGCCCCGTCCCTTTGTGCGGACGCAACGCGTCCCTTCCCGCCCCAGTCACAGACATATTTAAGCGTTCGGCCGGACCTCGGACGGACAAACTCTCAGGATGAAGGTACGTCTAATCGAGCACCTCACGTGACGATTTTTACAGGACCAGGTGTATAAGCAAAAGCCAACTTCAGCGCTAGTCTCGTTTTACCCTTGGAATCCCAGTGAGATCCATTTGTTTTCGCGAAATTCTACAATCGAGGACTTTGTTGATTAGCTGACTACGACAATGGAATCTATCGCGACGGTGAATGAATGTGGATCGAAGATTACCCGCAACGTATTTCATTGTGCTTGAAATAGTTACGAAAGTGGCGTTATGCGGTCCGTATCGGTGTCCCTATGCTTAGAAATGTGCCATGGGTCTGGATCTTACGTGAGCCTACATAAGTTTAAATTATTGTGTAGCTGACGACTGCTTGATAACGGATAGAATCTGAGCACAAGCTTATTAATCAGTGACACGGCGGTATTGATATCGCAAAATGGGTTAGAGAATTTGCGGCAGCTGTGTATCAATCGTTCCCTAAGAATAGAAACAGCTATGACACTGGGTGCTACATGAACTACAGTCGAAGTAAATCGAGGTGATCTAGTTAAGTCTGAGAGCTGTGTATATGGCGCTTTTAGCCACATGGCTCGAAGTTCTCAACTAAACAAGCCATGTAACTTGACTTCGTGTCTCATTACTTACGGTAACTTCCTTACGACTTACTCACCCCCTTTAATTGTTATTATTATATATAATTATGCTCATAATTCGATGAGATAATAAAACTAAGCATGTACACGTCTTTACAATTATGAATATGTTTAGTGTGCGTAAAATTTCAGTTTACGTTTTTTTTGAATGATGGGTCGAGACATTCTTGTGGGTCTTGTTTAAAAGAAAATTCATATGGATATTGTCGGAATCAAAGTTTCCATTACCCGTAGCTCATGTACTCTTAGTTTTTGATTTTAATAGCTGCTTAATGGAAGGATATTGCTACGACAATTACTTGTGAACGCTATCGCTTATTGAAAAGTCTGAGCTGGGAATCAGTGACGAAGACAGAGACATCGTGATCTTTTTATGCCGTACTATATATATACAGGTAACATTGATAGTTCGAGCCCAGGCTCGGTATTATTAAATATTATGTTAAAAAAAGCTAAATCAGTACTAAATGTCTTAAACAGTACTATTATGTTCCTATAAGGATATCGACTGATTCTCTCTGCGCCAAAACAGAATTTATCTTCACGTTGTACCTTCTATTTTAACATCGAGCGGAAATTGTGCACACAAGAAGGGTACGTTTGTAATTGTAGGTTCAGCTTGTATTTAGAGAGTCCGACTGTCTAAAAGCAGAGTAACATTTGTTGCAGCTGGGTATATAGCAGTAATCTGTGTGATATTTTTCCATCCATGTTGTTCCATCCATTTAACAAGAACACTTTAAGCGGTCGTTGTTCCTTTACAACAACAAACTGAATCAATCGTATCTGTACCCTTCCTACGTATCTAAATGTATAGTAAAATGTCGGTCCAACAAAGTAAGGCGTTGTTGTGATCTATCTCTACCCCAAAAACGTATTCTAGAAGGTAATTATTTTCGCGGTAGTTCGTACATTTTATCACCACTCGCTAACTAAATAAATTCGAAAATGCACTGATTTATATTTCGCTATAGAGCTAACGAGTTAATGTGATGTTTCAATATTTTAGACCATCTCGTACGGCTGGTTCCTTATACAGCCTGCTAGGTCTCTTCTGACGGCAATTCCGGTACTAAGTAGCATTTGTCCATAAGCCAGAACTCTAGTCTCTAAATTGTTTGAAGAGAATGCAATGTTAGCGCTGTCCTACTTATGTTCAGGACCAGTTTATCCCAAGCATTAGTATCACTTCCAGAACTAACTATTTACAATATCTTTGCAAGTGATACGAAATGTCTCACAGACTCGATTTTTCGCGTATACCCTATTTTATAGGACCAACAGCATGCGGAAAAATGAATACAACATAACTTCCTATCATATAAGATGGCCTTATAGCCATGAAAGGTGTATGTCAGCGTACGACTTCGTGCACCACACAAGCAGGTTGGCTGTTG